TCACTACGAATGTGCGGTGACCAGAGAATTCAGGGCAGAGCAGGAGCTGTGACCGTTTACCTGGGAATGTTCTTCAATCATGAGACCCCTTGATGCAAAACCCATCCCGGAAGTAGTCTGCAAACCTTTCACTCGCCGTAGACTCCAACCGACACAATGTGATACCGAAAATTAGACTCCTTAAGCATTAAAAATCAGGATAGAATGGGCTACACGTTCGATTGCTACAATAGCTTACATCAGCGATTCAAAACGTCAGTCATCCAGGATGGGTTGTAGTTGGACTGAAGAAGTGTACCGAACCTCCCGATTTATAAGACAAGGCGGAGCCAATACCCAACAAACTGTTAGACAATTAGGTTCACGAGTGTTTCATTAAAAATGTTAGGAAGAAAAACTACTGTCTGTAGTAGTTGATGCACTAAAGATCAGTACATAACTTTGGAACACCGTTTCTAAACTTGTTTGCAGTTAGTTAATCTCTCATTAAGGATGTTAAAAAATCAGAGCATATTAAACGATAGGCTCTTAAAACTGTCCCTGTAACCTAATCGTAAAACGTGATGTGACTTAATGTTAGGATTATGATTATGAGGGCGTCAGCATGTCTTATCTTTTTTCCTTTCTAGAACTTATCGTTTTAGAGTCATAGGACGAAGATTCAACAATTGAGATCAAGTAAACTCATATTAGGACTCCTAGCAGTCAATGACTGAAACGCCGTATCCAAAAAAGTCACATAAACAATTTAAAGGGGTACCTGGTAATCAAGCTTTAAAGATTAACACATGTAAAACAGCCCACTATTATTGTCATTATTGGGAAATGAATGAAAATAACTTTCCCATCCTTTCATACAGTGGCTGCAACTCTGGAAGCATTTCGTGCCGACAGACATCGGTTGCCATTTGATATCCATGTGCATCCGTATAGGCCACATGACTCCAGGATCAAGCACAAAGGCAAGTTGGATCTGACCATTCCACTTATGGACTTTCCTGATAATAAAAAAACGTGTAATGGATAGGGGCTATGAACTCGGAAAATCTTGTATATGTAGGCTACCTGTCAATTCATGTAAGGCTCATACAGACAAACAGGAAGATGCTTATACGTTTCAAATTGAAAGCATAAAATGCTTATACATAAACGTCGCGAGTTTGCCGAATAAAATGGACGAACTCAGTAATGCTAATAATAATCATGTGGTAGGAATATGTGAAGCATAGATATCTTCTCAGTTTACGGAACAGGAGCTGGCAACACTAGGGATGCCTTGTTGCGCAATAACAGAAAAACAGGAATTGGAGGGGGAATAGCCCTACACTTATGATCCCGTCAGAAGGTAAATCAGGTGCACAACCAAGATTTTATAAATCTAGATGAATCCGTTTGATGCTCAGTAAGAATGTCTCCCACCTCGAGGTGTCTAGTTGGAGTCATCCACTGGAAACCAACTGCTGACATCGACCACGACAATCGTATGTTGTAAGCATTGTCCCACCCTACATGTCTAGGATCCACTAATATCTTGATTCTAGGGGACTTCAATTTTCCTGAAGTCTACTTCGCGGAACATACGTATGTTAGGGGTGAAAACTCAACTGTAGCTCGGTTCTTCAACCTCATGGAGGATCTAAGATTATTTGAAAATGTGAAGTCGCCAATTCGTTGGAGAGACAGTCAGACGCCATCCCGCTTAGACTAGGTATTTACAAACGAAGAATTCCCGGTTGGCAACCTATCAATCCTGGCTTTCCTAGGGGGAAGCGATCACGCCGCCATAGCCTTCAGTTTCATCGGCAAAACTGAGCTAAGACATTTCACGAACAATAGGTGCTAGAATCTCAAATGGTTGAATGTGTCGGCTTTATAGAACTATCTACAACAGGTGGACTGGGATGTTCACCCTCAACTTGACGTGGATGCTCATTAGGATTTCTTACTGCTACAAAGCAATCTGCTCCTCAAATGATCCCCAAAATCTACAAGCAACCTACAATCATCAAGGACCGCTCTCTTCGTTTTCTAAGCCACAAAGGTACTGTTGAGCAGAATACAAAGGAATTGATAACAAAGGCGTGTACAGGCAGTACAAATATATAAGGAACATACGCACAAAGGTAATAAGAGAAGACAGGCTTCAGTACCAGATAAAGCTTATGGATAAACTTGTCTCCAATCCGAAAAGCTTAAAACGTTGTGGAGTCTCTCTTTGGCAAGCCAAAACTGGAGTTTCCCAAATGCTAGGTACTAATGGCCGATCGACAACGACGGTGACGTCGCCAACCTCCTGGCTTTACATTACTGTCAGACATTTCAACCGACCCACATTAACTATATTAATGAAAACTCTATCCACAAATGAGCAGGACCTTCCGAAGTGAACCTGAGCGCTGACTTGATGTACCGAAATCTGCGGCACCTAAGAAAAGACACTTCGCCTGGTCCGTATATGGAATGTCCTAGTGGGGTCTCCCAGGGCTCAGTACTAGGACTTCTTCTTTTCTTGATTTTCATAAACGATATTCCACAACAACTATCGTCTGACTTATCACTTTTGCTGGTGACGTGAAACTTTGAAGAGAGATACGCAACCAAGAGGATATACAGGCACTACAGGAGGATCTGACTCGACTTCAAAGTTGGGCAGACGATAACGTACTTATCTTTAACACTTCAAAGTGTGAAGTAGTTCATCCGCGACACGTTGCAGACTACAGTTATAACTTAAAAAACTCCTCTCTAGAAGTATCCCAGGTTGAAAAAGGTTTAGAGTGCTGGCATCCTACAACTTGAAGTCTTACTCTAACTGTGACAAAAATGCCTTTCGAGCAAACCTTGTACTGGAAACACTGAAGCGCATTTTTGGCCATTTTGACGGAGGGACTTTCCGTACAATTTTCGACAGTTTCATTCGTTCCCATTTAGAGTACGGAAACATAGTATTTCCTCCTTCACTCCAAAATGATAAGGACACAATGGAGCGTATCCAACGGCAAGCCACGAAATCAGTTCGAGGACTCAAATTCAAGCCTTACGAAGAGCGCCTCCACCCACTGAACATTTGCCCATGAGAGTATAGGCATCTAAGAGATAATATCCCAATGGCTAACAGTATCCTTAACACTTCTGGGCATCCTCTTAAATGTCTATTTAAGTTTATCTCTAACACAAACCTAAGGGTTAGCACTAAGCAGCTGGAGATAAAACATAGCAGAATGGACTATAAACACAACTTATACTTTTTAAGAGTTGTCAAATGCTGGGATTCGATGCCGGCTAAGCTAGTCCAAGCGACTTCTCGGGAGCCTTTTAAGAGGCAACTTGACTTATTCTTAAGGACCAAGTATAATATCTTACTATGATTTACCAACTTCTTTTTCCTTTATTATCGTTAATATACCTAGGTTGCTGCCTTGGTGTATTGGTAATCCCTTGCTAAGAGTAAGCATCATCTACTCCGCCCACAACCGTTTGAACTATTTTGAGTACTGTAATTTAAGGTCAAGGACTGCGGTGCTTTCATATTGGTCCGTTACGATGCACGAAATAAATATCGATGATATAAGTTTGGGTTCTGGATTCTCACATGCAAGATACGCATCTGTAGTTTCAGCGATAGGAGTACATAATCGAAATTTATTCATAGGATCCTCCTCCATATCAGGTGAAAAATAATACCTTTCTAAAACCAAAAATAATTTTTGTGTTGTTGAGTTTTTTCTGCAAACCAGTTTTCCATCGTAATTTGTGATTGATGTGACTAAATGTATTATGGCTTATTTTTAACAGTTCATCTTGTACCCTTTCAATTGCTGGCTCTAGTTGCTAAGCTGGTCTTAAGGTGTTAAGCATCCCAAGCTGCTAGCTTTGGGGAAATGTTGGGGAAATCCCTAAAGTAAGATAGCCTTCCTCAAAGTTTGGGTAAATTTCGGGGAATTCTTGGTAAATTTTGGGGTTTGCGTCTCATTTCCTCAAAATTTACTGTAGCGTCTTCCCCAAAATGGACCAAATTTTCCCCAAAGTTGGCAACTCGGGATTTCTGGCAAAAGGAGGCCAAAGTTCAGTAAAATACGCGGAAAGAAAATAGAGCACCCTTTTATCAGTAAAGGTCAATTTATTTCTCAGCAATAAAAAACCTAGCATGGTTGAAAATTTTCACAGTAATCTGCTTTTGCAGTGAACTACATGTTGTAAAATTAAGTTTTATTGTATGGGATTATTTCAAATTATTGAATAGACAAACTTCTGGCGCTAAAAATAGTGAAGTGTCGTCTTTAACGGTGCCTGCTACTTTGTTGTCTACTGTTTTACTGATATCAGACTGTCTTACCTTCATCACAATCACTTGTAAACAAAGTATCTGACTCATCGAAATAATATGTTACCACGCTCACAATAAACTTCCAATTTGCGGAGTTAATCTTATCAGATATTTCGTGCTCAATTATAGCTTAGGAAGCTCAGAATAATTCATAATAAGCATTATTAGAAACTATGTGTATTTGCTTTTTATAAACTGTCTAAATGAGGACATAATAATAAACTCTTCTAAGACGTCCATAAATTATTGTAGCACCGCTAAACTTTGTAGATATAAAGTCTGAAAAGATGAATAAATTGAACAGTATGTATATCATGTCATATGAGAACGGATATGACTCCTTGATTATAAATAATATTAATTATCACTGACACACTGCATTTATGTTTTTGTCCACCATAGGGGACCTGTGGGGCGGTGGCTTGGTCGTTTACAACCTGAAAAACTTAAAAAACTATTTTGGTCGTATTGCATATGAAGATGAATCGTCTGTAGTTGATGATATCTCTCATCAGGTTGTTACGGAGGCTTCTTTCGACTCATCTGTCGCATCAATAGCACCATTGAATTTAAGTTGCAGTGAATTAACAGATGCTGTTGTGATTGGTTTAGATGATGGCTCTATTCAGTTGGTTACACTACGTGAGGTGTCAGCCAATTCTCATCAGTCACAATGCAGGTATCCATCTTTTTGTTGATTACATATATATATATATATATATATATATATATATATATATATACATAAGTTGAAGCATTTATTTTTCTTTCATCAGACTATTAGATGAATAAAAGTAAGGTGGTGGCTTTGCGATTAAGACGTTCTACTCTCAACCACTAAGTTCAAGGTTTGAGCCCCACTACACCTATCTGGACAACCGGGTTGTATCACTAACCCTTACCCAGAGTGTGGCTCATATACAATTACTTGGAGAATTATTTAATTCGATTCAATGTTCAGTTTAAGTAATGCAGAATACATGCTTACTATATAAAGTAGATACGTTATCACAGTGTTTGTACAATATGAGTAAATTGTCATGTTTTTGTGGAGTAAGCATTTGACTTGTTTGAAAGTTATGCCATAGATCCAAGTTTGTTAGTTATAAAAATGACTTCCTTTACTTCGTTGACAATATTCGACATTGAAAATATAAGACAAACAAATATAGACTTGGCGGAAATATGTTGCTTCGATCTGCCACACCTCACAAAAAATAGAAGAAATGCAAATAATCACAATAATACATTGTTAATAAAAGAGAAATGGAGGCTAAAAACCAAGTAAAAACGGGAGTGAAGAAGTGTAAAATAATCTTGTGTTTATGATTTGGATAAAATTAAAGATTCCATATTACTTGAAATAGTGACAGTATTTAAAATTTCTTCGATTCCATTTGGTCTGCACTAGAAACACGACATCGGTTAATACACAGCGACTGATTAGTTTATTTACTAACTCATTTGCAGAATTCATGGGCTTGGATTTGAACTGCGCCCTAAGTTTGAGCGCTACTGATACTAATCATTCACCTAGATCGAGGTAGGTGTAGTGGAGTTCGGACTTGTGGACTATTGAGATTGTAAATCGAACACTAAAACCCTTGAGCTATTCCTCCTGATTAGTAAAAACAAAACGTTGGTGCATCTGAACCACTATGACTAATTTTAGGCCATATCACCGATCAACTACTAATTACGGTTATTTTACTAATCTTAACCAAAAGTGTGGTTTCGCTTTACAAATTATATAAGTTAACAAGAACCAATAGGCCTTCATCAGTCAACAATCCATCATTTGAGGAGGAGCTAGGGCACGGAATCGAAAAACTTATTCCAATCGACTAATAAAAAGTCTAAGGAAGAATCTTTTGTCTCTATTATGTCTATGAAAAAGATAAAAATGATCTAACGTAATCAACGCAAAGTTTTATTGGGCTGCAAGTTATAGTCAGTTTGTGTGCAATAATTGCCATGAAACCAAACTAGTTAGTTGTTACTTAAAACTCATGCTTGGTAAAGTGAGTGAACAGTTTAGTCAATTTTCTATTGTCTCTATAGGAAAAATTACTTCTGACCACTTTTATTGTATGATTTCTATAAAAAATTAAAATTGCAATTATTATTTGTCCCTTAATCTTAATTCTTTTGTACTTTACGTTTCCATCTATTTCTCAATAGCCATTAACAATCAATTCTGCTACATATCATGATTGGCCGTTGGAGAAAGTAATAGCATCTCAGACCTCAGGATCTACGAATCCACATATCATAACATTAGATGTAGCTGGATGTGTAAAAGTAAGTTGATGCACATTAATCATCTTTTAAAAATCTTTACCAGATATAAAATATTCTGTTCTCTTGTAAGAGAGGATGAACAAGATGTGTTCCTCTGAAAGATGATTTTTGGTAAAGCTACATTCCATGAGCAAGGTGGCTTAATTTTAAAGCTTTCGATTGCGATCACGAACCGATTGATGTTAGACCACCAGTGGAAACCTGGAAGCACTGGAAGGCCGTTTCGTCCTATTGTGGGACTCCTCATCAGTGCGCATCCACGATCCCGCTCGCGGGATTCGAACCCAGGGCCTTTAGTTTCGCGCGCGAACGCATAACCTACTGGACCACTGAGCCGGCATCCAATGGTGTTAATATCCTTCTATGCAACGTCTTTATCAGCACAAACTTCAGTTAGAAGTGAGCTATGAGGCTTTCTTCACACTTGAGTTACAACTTGTTCTGTTGGTCTTGATTGGTCATTGTTGTTGTTGTTGTTGACGGTTTTCTTATCGTTACTTGGATTACCATAGTCTACTCTGTATTAAAATAACTAGGTTTTGGGGGAGTAAATTTCCAAATCGCTTGGAGTGGTGTCAACCCTACTTTGTTGTTGTTTGCGATTTTTTCATTGTTTATTCGTTTTATCATTTGTCACTCATAATTTTTAAAAGGAATAGGAAGATAGTGTAATTAAAGTCCGTCATACTGTTTTTATTGCTCGAATTATGTTGTGTTGCATACTAACGATTATAAAATATATTGATCTTAAATTTCATCTAACATCGATTAGCCACTGAGTAGTGTAAGTTATGTATTGTTTGTCTTATCCTTTCTATGCTTATCTTATCGATTGAGTTGTAATATGACTACTCCTGGGTTAATCTTTGTCAAGAAACCCTGGAATCTATGTTTCGTGCTAGTTGGTACTCATCAGTAAGGCGTACGTGCAACCTTGAGGGAACTGATGCTCCATGGAGGCTTCGAACTCGTATTACTCAGCCCCACTCCAAGAAATGTCACTGCTGAACTATTGACGTTCGTGGCTAGCATTCTATAGGACTGAGTTGTTTAAAATTGACTGACCAATGAGTGGCAACCAATATCTTGGTTGTCTAGTCCTCATCAAATTCTACCCTGCTAACTGATTACTTTCGACCACCTAGAATTGTATATTTCTTTTTATAGCATATGTAAACGAATAATTTGTGATTCAAAGACCCAAGGAGTTTAGGGTTAATATTAGGAGTTCGTGTTATAATTTAGAATTACGAGTTTCAAGTAATTGTTAGGGATTAAGCGAAGGCAAGCCTTATGGATAAATACTTATACAGCTAATTCTTTGGTTTTCGAATATCAAAAACCCTTAAGTTACCTTTAAAAATCAATAAATCATGGCCTCTATTCTTTAGTCATTCCATGTTTATCAATTTTCGAGCATCGTAATAAATAAATATTGATATATTTTACATAGCCTTTGATAAGATACAATGTATTCGTCATGTAGATTTGGATATCAGTTAAAAGTTCAAATAGCTGCTATCTTAAACCTGATTGGTTCGTTAGCAAATGTATTCAATTTAAATAAAACAGTTCTTCATGACACTTTAGCTTTTGATAGTTATATAGGTGTAACTAGTTCATTAAATGAAATTATTTCTGCAAATTTTATTATCTCATTCAGTAAGATCATCTAAATAAGACAAAAATAATAAATGTAGCAGAATAATATAAATTCACTTTATTTTGTAACATCTTTTAACTAGTGTCACAGCACAATTACGTAATGAACATTTGTGATTAAGGTCACCATGGAAGAGCAAGATTATTGAGCGTGTTTTTCGGATGCATAGATTTGGTTTCTTCTTGTAGCATTTGTTTCAATAAAAGATAGTAAATTCAACATCCTTTGTTTACTAATTATCTTGAAAAACTTTGAAAAACCAACCGTGTTCACTGTCAAACAAGTGACAAGTAATCACATTGCTGAAAACATTCTTTCCTTTCAGTCTAAGCTTCTGTAGAATGTGCCCAAAGATTTTATTTTATCACCATTGGAGTCAAGGTTTAGGAAGACAAACTTATTTTTAACTGCAGCTCATGAAAACTGGTAAAACACCTTGTCATCTTATCTAACAATAATGTCCTATACTTTATCTTTTCAATGAACCGAAACAATAAAACTATATACTTGCTGTTCATAATTTTCACTATCTCTCTTCTTAGAACAATATGAGTTTGTTATTGATTGTGTTTCTGTCAAGTTTTACGTGTTTACTTTGCTAAAATACGGGTTAAACTAAATAATTAGTTGGTACACATACATATATGTATATATGTAGATCTCACACAATATACAAAATAAAAATGAGAGTGAACTAGTGCGATTAAGAAAATGGTGCTGTTGATATTATCTGTATTAATGAATGAATCAAATATTTAGTTATTTAACTACGTGACTTCTAGATTACATTCACTCACCCACCAACTAAACTATCTTGTACAAATAAAGCAATGAATATATATATGTATTGTATAGGTATTTTAATACACATTTAAGACTATTTTACAGAAAAGTAAACTTGAACACAGATTAAATTGTTATTCTTGTATATGTGTTTACATGGATTTCATAAGCTCTTTTAAACAGTTCATTGTACATAAAACCTTTGTTTACATAGCTCTACTTTGAATTTAAGAAATCTATTACTCAATCATTAAGTAGTATTAAGATATGATATAAATTTATATTATTTCAAATTGTGTTATATTTCACATAAGCTTAATGAAAGAGGTAATTAATCAGCTATGTGAAATTATGTGGCTTTAAACTATAGAATCTATTATGCTCTTCTATTGTTTGTTATTCTTTAATCCCAACACTTTACTCACCTTTTTCCAAATTAGAACAAGAGTTGAAAGCGAATAATGTATATTTCAATAATTGAAATAATAATGATATATTTTGTAAACATATTAGATTTTATATAAGAATTTCTTCATTTCTTGGTTTGTTCATTAATGTTAATTGGTCTAAAATGTACCAATGTGTGTATATCTCTTTGAACCTGATCAAAAGTATATGATAGTTAAGACTTCATTTGGTCATATAGGTCACAGGATTGAACATTGTTCTATTTAATTAGATTTTGGCAAGGTGGAGAGGGGAGGTGTGCCGCATTATCCAGTCAACTATATTCATAAACTTGTGCTTAGTAAATGAGTTTAGGTAAAATATTAGTAAGGTCTATCCAACTTCAAAAGTTTCTGATAGAAAGTTTTCTCATTCTAAAATTACTTTTAAGGTTTCGTTTTTTTAATTAATGAGTAAATGACTTGGCTGTAGTATACAATAAACTAAGTTCTGTTGTACAATGACCGATATGAACAGCTATTATCGTTTAAAATATGATAAATGAGATTATCATTGTTGATTGTTTGTTTTTCGCAAGTGATTTCATAACTGACATCGAGTTCCATTATTCTGCAAATCTTGAACTCTAATGAACCAGAAAGAAAATAGTACCATTAATGCCTTACTTTGAAGTTTGTAAAAATAAAGGAAGCAACCGCTATCAGTAGTGGTTTCGAGACTTTGGATAAGATGTTTCAGGATCGTTCACAATGAAATAGATGGACTCATTTTGATGGAGTTTGTTCTCTGAGCTGGATGGTTTGGTCGTGAAGCTTTCATCGTTCTTCTGAACGACATCATCAGCACAAACTTCAGGTAGAAGTCAAGTGTTCGAATTTCTCAACATGTGGTTCGCAGCCTGTCCTGTAGACCTCGATGTTGATTGGTTCTTGTTGACGTTGTTGTCAACCTAGTACAACCTAGTAGATATAATTTTCAATTGAAAATGTCTGCATCTAACAACGGGAAATTACACGAATGTTATTCTAATTACTTAATTGCTATTTAATCTTCACTTTGCTTACATAGAACATAATTGTTTTCCCTCTTCATTCTTATTCTTCATTCAATATTAAATTGTTCGATTTTCATTGTTGTTTTATTCATTTCAAATTAGTTATGGGATTGTCCATCTTTAATGCCTATTAAATCATGGTCTATCAATTCTACAACATGGCCTGTTAACGGTTCCGCTTTCACTCCAGATATTTCTTTACTATCTACTAGTAATACTAATAACATGATAAATCATCAAAATAATTGTGAAAACTTTTTATTGTCAACTTTAAATCCATTAGATGTGAAACGAAAAATTTGTTTATGGGATATTCGTGTCAATGATGTATCTAATCCAATTGTAATTCAGTCAAGTGACTGTTCAAATATTACACATGATTTACCAACGTGAGTTTTAATGTGTGTATATTTCTCTTGTTGTTTTTATCTTACTTTAATTATGGTTGGTGTTGAGAAAAGATGGGTATTTTTTGGTAAGTCTTGCGGATTGAACGCTATATTCGTCTCATAAGCTATTCTGTAAACCCCAAGCTAGAACTATACAGCTACCTGAACACGAGAGAGAAGACTCAAAGTATGCGGGAAGTAGTTTACTCCGAGGTTCATTTTAATACAGAAAATACAGGGTTTTTATAATATTTTAAATGTCCTTTGGTTGCTAGAAGATTCTGGAATGCTACTAAACATAGTGGCAGTGTAGCAGCCAGCCAATCAAAGCCTCTGCATGTGACGTTTCGCTTCCTTGATATTTTTGGCTAAGACTTCAAGTGAACGCTGATTAGATGAAACGCTTCTTAGTGTTTCCTGATGCTTGCTTGTCTTTTGCAAGCAATTTCCTGGATCACCCCAACATTTTTAAAGTAATATTTTGATGTAAGGATCGAAGATGATACTTTGTTGTAAGTGTCATATGATAGTCTACATAAAATCAAGGGCCTAAGTTTCTCGCGATTTGATGCAGGAGAGTTTCCCTCTAACTACTAATGACCATATTACAAATGAATCGATTGATTTTGAATAGCACGAATGATTAGACAAACACAAAATCGACCACTTCTCAGTGGTTGATACGTGTAAGTATTTCTGTCTTTCAGGTCAATTGGGAATCAGTGGTAACGCCTTGGACTATAAAAATAAGTGACGTTGGTTTTAATCCCACTGAGAGCATCAGCTCATTCAAGACATGGAAGTTTCAAATCACTGTCTGACTTTTGTTAGCCAACCATTGAAAATCTACGAACAGAAACTAGTTAAATGTCATTCCTGATTATCAACAACGATATAATTCAAACTCTTGGTAACAATGAAATAAAATTTAGAACCGTCTGTTTGGTCTTAGAAGCTCATATATATATGTTTGAATTCGAGGGCCTTAATTTCGAGTCCCGAGGTAAACATCAATATGCAGCAAGTAAATTCCATGTAAGAACAAAAGAGCGTCTTGGATTTTACTGTTAACAAGGATCTATCTACTCAATAAAAACTTATGATATAATAGCTTTGTCGAAGCGATCCGCATTGGATGCACAAATCCTAACGGAGACTGATCAAATTTCATTCATAAACATCACGAACAAGTTATTTCAAACGATTATTAATAATAATACTGATCTTAGTCTTTTGTGATTGTATTTGTTAAATTTACTTGATTTTCTAAACTTATTCCTTTGTGCTTTAAATCATTTTTATTTACAATTATATGTATATGTGATTTATTATTTTAATTTAAAGAGCACTCAGTTGGTTTTCAACAAATCATTTGCTATTAGGAACTTACGAAGGTCATTTATGGGTTTATGATATTCGTAACCCTAAAATGGAACTTACAAATGTAGATGTTACAAATACAAATGAAACTTTCAAATCGTCCTCACATAGATGTAAACAAGTATGCATATTTAATAAGCTTATATTTTAATCTAAATTTTTCTATATCGAATTAGTTTTTGTCACAGAATAGCTTTAGTTGAAGAAGTATTGAAGTTCAGGGATCACTCATTAAACATTCATTCCACCGTAGTTTGAACTCATCAACAATGTGCACCTACTACTTCACCAGCTGTAAGATGTTGAGTCGTTATAGCTAATTAACACAGGTATCATTTACGGTGGTCGTCACTCTGTATCATAAATTAAAAAAAAAAAGAAATTGGAACCAATGAATGCTGAGTTTGATTCACCTCCTAATGACGTTATAGATATTGCATAACTTGGGAGTGGGAACCTTGGAATTCTCAGATAATTCACACTCCTAATTAGTTGTCAGATTGAATTCATTACATTTAAGTCTTTTATGGTTATGTTATTAGTCAATTATGTAAGTAAAATATATACCAATCTGATTGTTGAATTCCAGTTAGCTCACTTTGTCTGGAAAAATGTACGCTTATCAAACTAAATATTTATAAATTATATACTACCAATCTATGGGACACTATCCAATTGTTCGAACTAAATACGTTTCAGGACTCAAACATATATATGTATTACGTATGCCCAACCACTATCTATCTCTTTGGGAAATGTTTGATTGATGTATGTAAGCACGTTGAAAGAAAGCTAGAGATGATCAAATCAAAACATAGGATCAGTCCATGCAGTTGGTTTGGGGTCCATTTATTAATTGCAACCACTAGTTGGGGGCATCGGGTGACTGATAAGTCTTTTTATTTTGAACGCTTTATTCGGTTCCTAAGCTATGCTGGTAACACGCAAGCTAGAACTACGCAGAGACCTGAACCCGAGAGAAAAGGCCCAAAATAAGCGAAAAATACTTTACTCCAAAGGTTCATTTTTGTACAGAAAAACACGGGTATTTATAGATGTTAACATTTGTTAAATCAACATCATATTTTGGCCAATCCGCTAAAAGACATATTATGCTACTGACCAATAGTAGCACGCCACGGTGATATTCTAGAAAGCTCCATCATGCTCTGATTGTCTAGAACTCTTCGGCTCCTTTAGGACCTCCAGAGGCTCCGTTGCAGTTCTCGGAAAGCCGACTCAACAGTGACATGACTCGAAATCAGTCACAATGGTGCATATTCATTCATTCTTTGTTTCCCTTCAGATTTTTCAATTTTAAAATTATGTTTTTCTACTTCGTGAGTTCATTCTTCTCGAACCATATTACCATCCATGCCTAATGTTTTTTTAATATCATTGATACTATTATTGTCGTGTGCGCTACATCTGTGGGTCGATATTAGTAGTATGTAGTAGGAATTTGAAGTGGAATGCTTACCAGCAGAAGATTGAAATGAAGAGAACAGGAAGGAAAACGGAAATCAGTCAGAGTAACAACAGAACTAGAAGAACGATGGAGTATGTAAAGGGTTACTGAAGGAATATGTGCAAATTGTGTATTTAATCTGTGGTGATTTTCATATTTTACAAAGGTTACCGCGCAATTTTGCATAAAATATTATATTGGTTTACCGTACATGAATCTTCGTTCACTATATTACCACTTTCATTACTCTGAAACTTGTGTTGATAATCCCATTCCACCGTGCTTTAATAGTTTGGTAACTTGCACTAATGCACATCTGTCCCGCATTATATGTTGCTTGTAACTGACTGACTGTTAACATTGATGATTAGAAACATAATGTTCAGAAAATTGACTCTCATCTTCGTGTATATACCTACAGTGAATTAGAACAACGTATATAAGCGAACAATATTGTTTTCGATTAGATCCTCATTAGGCTTTACTCTAATATACAGTAATATTTATATGCATATACGAAATTATTAAACCAATCAAGGCAGTTTATGAGTTAATGGTAACAATAGAATAGATTACATAAATAAACATAATAATTGAAAAGTACAAATTGATAATATGATGACAGGCGTACTAGCTACGATAAGAATAATAAACGCTTGAATCAATGTTACGTAATGGGAAATAGGTCAGTGATTAGAAAAATATAGACACTGAAATAACTTTCATAAAAGATTGTAAGATTATGTAATTAGAAGTGTCCAGATAATTGGACAATGAAGCGTATATCTAGGGGAAAAATAGGTGAGAGGGGGTAAAGAAAAAGAAATGAAGAAAAAGTATAGAGAATGATAATAAATAAAATCATTTGTTAAGGCCACGAGAGAGATAAAGGTGTTACAAATTTCTTACAAATACAAAGACTTAGATTGTTGGCTCGAATTCCTATAACTTCTGTCATGTGTAAGAGACAAGATCGAACCCCATAAGGAAAACTAGTAGGAATACGATAAATAACTTAAAATGGTCCACTACATGACCGCTATTTATCAAGTGTGATAGAACAAAACTGTGCATTGTTTTGACAGTACCCTTTCCTAACCTCGAAGAGGGATGTTCATTAACTCGTTGGCTTAGTTGTTTGATAGTGCGCCCAATATGGCTTTCTCCACAGGAGCAGCTGGATTTGTAGATACACATAAAAGTGACAGGACCCGGTAACTTATCCTTTAATTGAAGAATCACCATAGATCGGGTCAAAATGTCCTCTTGGCATACTCGTTTTCATAACATTTTGTTTTCATAAATTCAATTTGTTATTTTTTTCTTTATCCCACCTCACACAGATTGTTCAAATCCTTACGCATAATTATCCAGAAACATCAACTGAAAATATTCCTAATACTTCCAAATATATGGGACTAATTCAAATCAATGGTTCAATAGATGTTTACCAACAGAATATATCAACATTTAATGTGTCAAATGACATGTTTACACATGTATATCATGATGATGGAAAATCAATCATGAACATCGATAATAGATGTTATGGAAGAGTTAAACCATGTGGTTTGTTTCTATCTTCTGATCTTCTGAATCCTGAACAACCATGGAGATTACTACTGTCAACTGGTATTCCTGACAATAACCATAATCTATCTTTGACAAATACTACATCATATACTGCTAACATGAATTATCATACAACGACACCAACTATGCTTAATTATCAACTTCGTGTACATCCAAATCTAATTCAAACAAATATTCCAGGATTCAACAATCTTTCTAGAATTCACTACATAAAATTACTTAATATTTAATGTATATGCGAAAAAAGAAATTCATATAGAAGTAATGGAATGTCGTGTATAATAAAGTTACAGTGATCTTACTCGACTGATTATTGATTTACTTCTTCTCTGACTGGTTGTGGTAAACAAGAATGTCTATGATGCTAAAGAGAAACAAAAGATGGATAAGATTCAATTAACATTGTAATGTATTTATTTTGTATTTGTGTGTATGTGTATGTAAAATCCAGAATTGTAAATTTATTGCATTTAATAGTAGTAATACGTTTGAGAAATAAAGTCAATTATTCGTTATTGTAAAGAAAAGAGGCAACGAAATTTTCGTGACTTCTTGATTTTATGCCTTTTTGAGTGTAGTTCGCTTGTATAATTAACTTTGTTCGTTGTCGTTGCTGGTGTTGACTGTTTCACACACACAAACATACACATACTCAACGACTATCTGGGCTCAATCAAATGTCACTAGGTCAAAGTTTTGGTGTAGGCATCAGCACTGAGATACATATGCATTCAGCTGACGAGCTATAGATAAGATGAAACACATTTCCTAGGGTTCACTGCTAGCCACTATCTGACTGTAATAAAAACTTGTTGGTAATATTTGATATTTAGATTCTATTTTGCATTTTTAACAGACAGGTATCATCCTTATTATGTCTAATCAGGGGAGGGTTTGTTTAGCAATTAAAATAAATCTGATTTGAAACTAAATGAACTGCAGGTTCTGACTTTTTTTTTTGTGTGCTTATTTTATTTATTTTTAGTGATTGAGTACAGTTGTATGCTTAATCACTTTATTGAGTTACATTATTTGTCTGACATTGCGGAGTCCTTTATCTGTTATAATGCAAATGGAAACTATGTATTTTCAGATTGGTAAATTAACTACTCTGTGTTAGATTTAGTTCTTTAGAATAAAAATTTATATTGTACAAAATGTGACTGACCTAGTAGATAGATTCACTCAAATAAAAGTTTTCTGATTCACCTGTAAAATGAAGATTAGAAGAAATTCAACAACAAATTAATTTGTTTGAACTCTATATAGATTAACTGATAGAATATCTATTTATAAATTGTGGTTTTCACAGGTTGATTGGTGTACTAGTTTGAAACTGTCAGATCAAGTGTTGTTAATTTGTTCAATGGTTAGTTGCAAACATTTTTTCTACGTTTCAACATGAATTTGAGTACTATTAAAAATTAATGTGGATTCAACAGTTGTTTCATTGTCCTTACCAGTCCAAATACATGAATCCACTAGGGATCTAACCCAGTGCTCTTTAGACCTCGCATTACTGATGAATACCATACGAGGATGAAACAACTGTCATATTCACCCCGGATTTTTATTAATATCCCATTTAATGTCAATCCGTAACAAGCATCAAATAGAAAGTAACCTAATCTTCATAAAGCTCCATCAAAAAAAGAAAGAATCTAAAACTGTGCTAAGCCAGTCTACTTTCATTAATCCATTCATACTATTCTAATACGTTGATCTATTTTAATTAACAATTTCATTATGTTACAATCACTTAATGTATAAGTTGACTAATTTAAATGGATTGCCTTATAAATAATTTGTATAACAAAAATAATAATTATTATTAACGGGTTTATTGAATATTATATTTTTGGTACAATATAGAATTCTCAGAACAAAGTATTTTAACAAGTTTCCATTTCGTATTTCTTGATCGATCCTGACAATAAATATTGAGTGATCGCCAATTAGATAGTTAACAGTTCAGGTATCGATATCTGAATAAAAGTATATTTTTTTCGATGCATGCTGTTAGCCACCACAATGTCTCTGATTGTACTTTTTTGTAACCTGTATAGTGAAAGGTTGTTAACAAACAAAAAAACAAATAACTTGATGAAATGTCTAGATGATAGGAATAGGTAGTCCAGATATTCAAGTAAGCCGCCACCGATTCTTCGTTTATATGACCCATGTTATGATATATCTAATTAAAAAATACTGTGAATTTGTGTATTCGACTAAGAGTAATCACACATTTTGTATATATTTGGGGCAAGGTTCGAACCAGTGATTGATTTAACTATTAATCATACATTTTGAAATGAAAATAATTTTTTTACTAAGAGTGATTTATTTTTGCGGAATAGATAGATTGTAGCTATCGATAAAATTCAGCATGTGCGTTTTATCTTACTTAGGAGACCTCACTGAAATGTACCTCTGTCTCACTAGATGTTCACACTGAGATTCTAACCCGGTATCTTTCACTTCAAATGCGAACTCATTATCCTCTAAGCTTTTGAGTCCAAATCCCTGTTAACTTGTCCAATGGGTGCTATGTTTATACCATTATTTGTAACGGTTCAAATTATTCCATTGGTACGAAATTTTTAATCAGTCTTCGCGTACGTACATCTTGTGTGGACTGCATCAGTATAGCCGTGTCATTACATGTCTTTCTTATCAGGATATATGGATTGTAGCTAGCAGTGGAACCCAGGATGCTCATTTCAAACCCTTACTAATAAATTTTTGACTATTGAGGATTGATTCTCACATTATTATTGTGTCCCATATTGATTATTTTCTTCACAAACGGTTAAACTTTGAAGTACTTTTATAGAACAGCCTTTTTATCGAACGAGTTTCCGAGTTGAACCCCAATCCACTTAATCTTAGTCAAGTCACCTAGTTAGAATTTAGTTAATTTTCTCTGACTGTTTTGTCTTATGAACAACAATTATTAATCTTAACATGTGAATGGATTATTTTTATGTGAATCATTTATTTTCTCTCTAGATATTTTCACTGTAAGTTATCATCATTAAACGAAAGTAGTGAAAGTAGTAGCATATAATTGTAACTGATCAATGTTTCAACTTACTGTTGGTCTTTTAATCAGTGTCACTTTATTCCTATTTACCCAATGACTAGATTTGAAGCTCCTGATGTTCATGGTCTAGGTTTTCTCTGCTTACATTTCTGCTTTGATCCTTCAGAGCAAAATATATTAATTGGCAGCATTGTGTTCTCGAAGTTAATCACTTTAGTTTTAGGAGTTTCATTGTCGATCTTGACAACAACATTATCCTCCATTTCATTTAGGAGTGAGCTCATCAGTTATTCCACAAATATTATGTCATTGCATTCTGATGGCCTTATTCATGATTGTCTTTATTTTTTCTTAGATTCATGTTGACTACAAATCACAAACAAGGCCAGTCAGAACGAATTAATATAATACTTGTGGAATTACTGAAATACTCACTTCTACATGAAGTAGGTGGTGACGATATTGTCCGGAATAACAATGAGATCTTTGCAATTAAACTATACAGCTCACTGAACACAGTACTACGGAAAGCATTCACCTAAACACTTGTTCTTCTTATTCACCTATTTTATACTACTAATAATTACGATGTTTGGTCGAATAAAGAAAACTTATTCACATTGGCGTAGATATATCTACTTGGTACCTTCCTGTAAATGTTATACTCAGTATGAGATTCCATACTTTTTATCTCCTGATTCCTGATTTGTTGTGCCATATTCTGCATTGTGTGTGTTTATTTGTCCGCCCCTCAATCTTTCCCGTCTTACAATTTGTCGCCTAATTGTTTGTGGTGTTATAGTATGTTTTCTTTTGGTGCTCTTCAAAAAAAAAGATGATCGCTTTCGCTAAATTTATCTTTACTGTGTTTATTGTAATCTTATGCTTCTAAATTTTCACTACTATTTTCCAAGGCTAAACAACCATATATTGAAGCAAGTGAATTAAATGCCAATGATGTACAAGTTACATTGATTATGCAGGGTTTACAGGCGCCTAGTCGAGGATTTTGTGGACTTATTAAACCCGGTTGTTCAGGGAATTTTCACAAAGATTCTTTCAATACAACATCTGCAAGTATTCGTCAACAATTAGGCAATGGACTATTAAAAGTGGAGCTTGGTGAATAGTAAGTTAGCATCTACTTATTATTCACTTTAATATTATCTATCCTTAGTTTATTATTATCATTATTATTATTATTGTTTAATCAAATTTTGACCATAATCACAATAACGGTAATCGTAGATCAATGATTTTAATGATTAAAAGTATAGGGTGGCCATGGGTGTCCGAATCTCAGTCTACATACTTTAGTTTGGGCAACCTGTTAATATCACTAGCGCTCACACTGAACATGTGGCTCATAACTGTATACATAAATCTGATGTATTAATAAGTATTTCATTAAAGTCATGAACTGGTCTAAGTTAGATCACCGCTGCAAACTTGGGCTCACTGCACATCGGTCTTGTCCCTTCCCCTTCATTTAAGTTGCATTATTACTATCCCTCTAATTTTAACAATGATTATATAACATCGTTTTACTAGTGAGTATGATTTTAATAATCATGTTTTCTTTTAATATTGTGTTCTATAGTGTGTTTACATTATTTATTTATTTATTTAATCATTTAGTTCATTAAATGTTCTATGCGAATTAACTAATCCTAATTATACTTATGAATATACTGTACGTCAATTTCCATCGAAAATTATACCAACATTTTGTACGTTTAAAGTGAGTTTTTATGCATGGAATGTGTTCTTTATTAAAAAGTTTAATTAATGTATTAATATAATAGTAATATTCTCTCTAGTCAAAATACTCTCTGTTTAATTATACAGCAATGAATTCTGAAGACAGGATACTTGCCCATAAATTTGTAACGCATCCATCTTTCAATGTTCATTAAATATATATATATAGCATATTTTCATTCATTTAAAGTGGTTATTTTCTTTTTTGGTAAAAGTATATCTTAGAAACGAGTAATCCACACTTCTGAAGAAGTGGCTTACACTGAGTCACAAAACGTCAGAATATCTAATTTTTCTACTCATTGAGATATTACAAATATCAGATGGGTTTTCTGGATATTCTAGTAATTTCAATGGTTGAGATCATGAGTCAGTTGAAGTTAAACCACCATGGAAAACATGGAAGCACTGGATGGCCGTTTCGTCCTATCGCGGGACTACTCAGCAGTGCGCATCCACGACCCCGCCTCACGGGATTCGAACCCAGAACCTACTGGTTTCGCACGCGAGCAATTACCTACTAGACTACTGAGCCGGCATCCAGCGGTGTTAATGTCTAACTTCAACTAATCCACGAAATTGAGCGACACATCCACCATTGTCTTCAATGAGTTACTATCTCTCAACAGACCTGATTGAACTTCACTGGTCACTAATTCCCAATAGAACTCCAGGATATACGTCTTAAAGCCAGTCACTAGTGAGTATATTTTGATTAATATCAGTTGGGTTTTGTGGACGGCCATGCAGTGCTTCCAGGTTTCCCATGGTGGTTTAGCTTCAACTGACTCATGATCTTAACCATTGAAACATGTTATATTTATTGATAACAATCTATCCGATGCTCGATTTATTCGAAATTATCAAGTCAAACATTGATAATGATACCTACAATCAGGTGATAAGATACGTGTCCATCAATTTATAGCACATCTGTCTTTCAATGTTCAATATATATATACGATCTGTAGTATGTTTTCATTCATTTAAAGTGTAAACACTGAATTATAAGGGTGTGATTTTTATTTCAAGCTGTAACTTTCATTGCTTTTGCTTCTTTTCCACTGCCAAGTTGAGTTATGCTTAAGTGGAGATATGTAGATAACGTCAGATGATTGAAATGAAGTCCTCAGTGGATAATTGTACTCTTATATACAGCACTCATTCATTAGACGAGTGAGAAAATGCTAGATGTTGCACTTTTATTGAACACTGAGGATAGATAGTTATCATATTTTGAATCTGTAGTTTAAGTATGCAAAATTGTAATAAATCACCTCCTTTTTATAAGTATTTGACTTGTAAATATCCAAAGATATATATATGAAGTTTTGAAATAATAATCAGTGATCATTCATCTTCATCCGTATCTATTTACAATTAGTCCTACTGCTATGATACTTCTTTCCATAGGTAAATATTATGTGTATCTGATGGATGAAGTCTGTGTTAATTATTTCTTCTTTCTCCAAAGGATAGGTGAAGAGGAAAATATGCCAACCATTAAAGTGGTACTTGTTCAGTTTCTTAGATATTAGACCATAAAGATTTGAAAAAATTGCGTAAATACACGAGATTAGTAGATAAAATTAATTAATTTTAAAAACAAATCTAAAATCGAAACATTTATGATAAATAGTAAAGTGAGTGTTTGAAAGAATGACAACTCATTAGTTGGAACAGGTTCTTGTGTTTATAGTTTTAAAATAATGATAAATCTTCTGACTGAACACTTGAATCGGTTTCCTAAGCTCTTCTATTAACCTCAGACTAAATCTACACGACGACTTAAATATGAGAGAAAAGGCATGAAATATGGAAAAACGCTTTACTCCAAGGTTAGTTAATGTACAAAAAATTCAGGGTATTTATAGCATTTCAGATAGCATCGGTTTTCTAAAACCCTGAGGTTGATTTCCATGGGAGGGGTCGCGGATGGGCATTGTTAAGGAATTCCGTACTTTGACGGTACAGCCGTTCAGCGCCTCCAGGTTTTCAATGGTGGTCTAACTTAGACCGGTTCATTATCTCAATGAAATAAAAACAAACTACTGAATTAAGCGTTTCAAGGTGATTGCACCTGTAAGGTTACCATCTTCACTATCTCTTCTGGATTAATTATCACATGTGAACAATTCTTTGGAGAAAGTGATAATTGAATATAAAACTATCCGACATCTTTTCTTGACAGAAGCAGTGACAAAATGCTCTAATCATAACGTCCCACGGTTTATGATCAAACAATTATTTCAACGACATCCAAGGTGACCTAGATTAAAATAGCTCACTCTCGCTTTCTACATACAGAGCCTTATCTCCTTATTACTATTATTACTACTCGGATATCCAAACTCTTCGCCTTACCCTAATAATCCATCATTATATGAAGAGTACAAGCACCCTAGTAGTTATCCCTAATGATATCAATAATATATTCGTATTTAATATGAATATGATACATCTCTCGTACTTATTTCCATTTTAATAGATACAAAATAATAAAGTCAAATTACGTTTGAGAAAAGCTTGTGGTTCTGAACAATGGGCTGGTGCATTAGCTGTCAAAGGTTTAGATCAAAGTTGACAACTGCACAGTAAAATATATCATTATGATTAGAAATATACAACAAATATTTTGTACATGATACTATATGAGATCTATTAATTAAACTTTAATATACATATATGTATACATACACTTGTTATTGATCAGAAATATGGATCAGAAATATCAGTGACTACGATTGGAGCATCGTACTTCAGTACAACGATTATATTTCAATGGATGACAATCCAATCTTTCTTATGATTTTCTTCTTTTGCTTACATGAACATATTCTCGTTTTTTTAAATGATTTTTTAGTGTATTATCAAACCTTTGACTTTTTTATATTCGACGTAAATTACTAATATCGCTTTCCTAGTTATATTTGCCTTTTTTTTTTAAAAAAAGAACGTGATGATAAAAATATAGGTAAATATATAATGCTTGTTTATTTTAAATTCTTACATAGTTTTCTGTATAGAGATTTGTGGAAATGATTGGATATTATGAACCCACTTATGCGACTTATCCATTGAAAACCTGAGGGTTGTAAACAGCGGTTTCGGCCCGATATGCGACTCTTCAACATGCACACACTTGTCGACGGGGATTGAACCCAAGAACGGTTTCACGTGAACGTTTACCCCGTAGACCATTGAACCGGGATTCAATGGCGTTTTTGTATAACTTCAATCACCATACGATATTGCATGACCACCATTCACTGTTTTCGGTGGGTAACCACTATCCCACACTCGACATATTTGAACCCCACCAATTATGGCTTCCCACTAAAATTCCAGGAGGTTCTGTGTTCGATGAATCGATTCTGGCAGGAACCTTATTCAATATAGCACTGAATGTAGATTACTTGGTAACAGTCAATAATTTGGTGTCTAATACTTTATCTAAAAGGAATCTAGTATATACTTGATATAAAGAAGTCGAATCCACAAAATAACCTCATTTTCGTCAATGCAGAAAAGATTTTACATTTTTATCAATACCAGTCTACAAAATTATTGTTATGATACTCATGGCGATTCCAGATACATTATGTGCTTCCGCGCACATGCTTGATCAAGGCCAAATGGTGGGTGAGAGAAGTTGAAAGAAGATGGTTGTCAGAGAAAGTCGTTCATGCTATTTGTCCAGGTCTGGCTTAATGTTAGGTCCCGATAAACATAATGGATGGTAACTTTGGGATCCTTTTTAAGGACTAAACGTATATTTTTATCGTGTAATTATTAAGTAACTAAACTATGCATATTCACATTCCTCTCATTATAAACTTTATTTTGACCTGTGAACCATTATACATTTTACCATTGTTGAATTATGCCCTGTCTATTATTAGTCGCTGCCTCCCACATTCACAGCCACATTTGGACAAATTTTGTACAAATGTTATTTTCTATTTTATGCTACGTTGTGATTTGTTTGATTGGTATATAAATTGAGTATGTTTGAAATATAAGGATTCATATTGCAGAGGGTGAGACTGGTGTTCTGGACTTAACTGGCTGGGCTAGGCCGGAAGCAGGACCAATCAGGACTCTAGGCTGCTCGCACGTGTTTTATGCGTCCTTGGTCCGATCGATAATTCGCTGCTTCTGATTGGCGGCTTCGGGCTATAACACTTAAAAATTTGGACATATATGTATATACCAATGAGTTGAACACATTTGAATTAGATTTGTCTAGTGCAGCTTCCTGGTTATCCTTTATTCTTTTCACTCACTTACTAGGTCTCGTTTGAGCATGGGGAAGCGTGCGTATCGGTATCGGATGATCGCACAACGTAAAACCTGAATAACAATTACACATATTCGTCAGGAACAGAAAATAATTCTACACAACAAATTTCTTTTTTCAAATCAAGTAAATAAATAGACGAGACAATAGACTACACATAAACCACTCAGTCCGTGGTATACACTTAATAAAATGGACAATCAATTTGAACTTGGCGCATATATATATGTATGTGTATTGATTCAAGTTCCAATACAGTAATATATTAGCACAGAAACAAACAATTGTTCCTTTCAATTTCACGAGAATAAAACAAAACAGTGTAGTTGCAACAACAACAAAGGAAGAATAGACTATAACATGAAAGAACCAAAAACCAATCATTTAAAGAGAAAACAATTGAAGAGAAGAAAAACCGGCAACAAAATAGATAATGAATTATACCTAATGAAAAGCAAACATAAGTAACAATAGGGAAGTGAGTTGATCTAATCATTAAGCATAGATTATATTTTTCAGTTAAAATAAAACATAATCTCAACCAGATAAGGATAAATTTACGTAGAAACACATACACCCACATAATATGTAACAAACTGGTGCACAAAATAGAAATGTAGAAAGGAAAATGCTTTTAAAGGATTACTTTCTTGTTAATTATTGTAAATAATACACTTGTTATGTGTATTGAATGAGAATTAGTATTCATTACTCAATTAACACATGAAAGGATAGGATAAAGATTATGCAACAGACTTTAGGCACTTTAAAGTTGATAATAGAATACATGATCATAATAAATGTGTATATATAGAGAAAAATAAAGCAGTACTGAGAAGGCGAGAAAAAGAGAGAGTAACAAGGCTGAATAGGTTCTTTTTATTGAATAGAATAGTATATATATATATATGGACTTATATATGCGTACATTGGTATGTATGTTATCACATTGTCAGCAATGGAGCTAACAATTAAGATTAGTGATTTGTAAATGATAAACGATAATGATCTAGTTATTGAAATTGAAAATAAACACTTAAATTGTTTCTAATGGCATTAAACGTTCCAGAAATATTTTCAATGCTATTCTATCTTGTTGTAATTTTATTAATGTTGTAGTTAATTGTTCATTAATTTGACTAATAGAATCACATTGACGTTTTAATATATCCACATTATCATTATTATTATCATTATTACTATTATTTAATGAAGTAATATATGGTTGTTGAGATTCTGTTAATCTATGAAGATAAGAAAAATAATATAGAAATATTCGGTGAAACATATACCTATTATAGAGATGGAATAATCAATTTTTGAGTAAAACTCCAAAGTGAGTTGGCTATTTTCTTTTTTGGTAAAAGTATATCTTAGAAATCAGTCAATCACAATCCGGAATATGAGTTTGTGTGAGCAATCTCTGAAGAAGTGGCTTACACTGAGTCACAAAACGTCAGAATATCTAATTTTTCTACTCATTGAGATATTACTTGACACCGGGCATACCGTCGATATTATACGCGCGTTTAAAATTATCAATAGACAAAGAACTACTACCACTCTCCGCTTTGCTGAAGCCATTGCAATCAAGAAACTGAAACCGGACTTATGCATCCAAAAAGAGACTTTAATAAACTTATCACTACTCTGGTAATCTTTTTGTTTCTGTTTGTTTTGTGTTTTGGTTATTTTATTCATTTACTCATTCTAAGAAATTTTATACTCCCCCCCTATTACCTAATTCTTTAAATAAATTTTATTCACACATTTCCACCACCTGATCCTCTTAAATCATCTTAACTTTCCAAACCCTATTTAATTATTATTGCGTAATCTACCTTATCATTATTTAATTCCATTAATCTCTACAATTATCACACAATTTATGAACTTCACTAAATTATTACACCACCCACCCTGGATTAACCCCCCTCTTTGACCTCTGACCTGTTTCTAGCATATATATATATTTATTATTGTAATCAAGTTATTTACACTCATTTATGTCAATTGTTTCACACTATCTCCATGTAAAAATTCTATCACAATTTTGGTTTGTAAGCAGCTGACGAGAAACCTCGAAATAATATGAATTCATACTATTCTGCATCAATGTTTGTTCTTGCTCTATTTATATTACAAATATATTATATTTATTTATCTCGATTTATTCGAAATTATCAAGTCAAACATTGATAATGATACCTACAATCAGGTGATAAGATACGTGTCCATCAATTTATAGCACATCTGTCTTTCAATGTTCAATATATATATACGATCTGTAGTATGTTTTCATTCATTTAAAGTGTAAACACTGAATTATAAGGGTGTGATTTTTATTTCAAGCTGTAACTTTCATTGCTTTTGCTTCTTTTCCACTGCCAAGTTGAGTTATACTTAAGTGGAGATATGTAGATAACGTCAGATGATTGAAATGAAGTCCTCAGTGGATAATTGTACTCTTATATACAGCACTCATTCATTAGACGAGTGAGAAAATGCTAGATGTTGCACTTTTATTGAACACTGAGAAAGAATGGCTATCCTCAAACCATAGGCAGTTGAAATAGTTTTTTCCATACTGTTCAGAATATTTAAAATGGTAGCGAAAAATTGTTTCTTGTATCCATAGAATAAGAACGATAATTCTGTTTTTTTTTAAGATTGCATATAACGGGTAATATTGTACCAAACGAGAAAGTGTTTTTATTGACTACTTCTACATCAAAGATATGATTTCAGTACGCTGTAACGGGAAGAATATTGTAGAAGTTGAAACTGGTTTCTCGAATCATAATTATTCATTACTCACATATTACTGTCATACGAATCACTATTCCTATTTTGATGCCAGTCTATTTATTTACAGTCTCCCCCCCATTCACAGCCACCTTTCGGTCTGTTCATGTATAATCTTTTTTTCTTATTTTATGAGGTTCAGTATATCTGTATATAAACCACTTTTGTTTGAATTATAAATATAATTGAATTTGGTTGCTGATTTTGCATTCAAAGGCTGGGCATAAAAAGGAGCTAGCGAATAGTGGGTCAATGAGAACCTAGCTGTCAGCTCAGTGCCAATAGTTCTGAGCGGACATGCAATTAGCTGAATCATAGACACTAAAGCTATAGAGTAAATAACCAACCAAATTAAAACTAGGGTTATGATTGGTGATCTAGCACACACAAGACATAATACAGTAATAGTAATTATCGAATTATCATTATAATTTCAGTCAGTCAGTAACAACGTAGAACTTCGTACGTACGTACATCAGTTCGAGTTGCCACACCACATTAGCACAGAGATGCACTTGTCGATTCAAATCCCGTAGTGGTAGAGGTAATAAGAGTATAAGCAGTAATCGGGAAGATTAGGGTTTGGAGATGTTATTTAAAGAGTATAATCCAGTGAAAGAAATTTGGAAAGAGGAAAAAAAGGGACATGAAGAATTCAGAAGATTAGAATTTGGGAGAACACAGAGAGTGGATGCACCTGCGCCATTGCAAACGATTTTGAGCCATGTCATTCAGGGTCTCTAACCATCGGTTGCTGTCATCTCGCGGTCCCCAACCAGGTAGTCTACACCTACCAACATGACTCAGTTCACTTGTCAGTGACTTCATGGACTTGTGCCATGTTTTGGTTTGGCCGCCCCTAGCTTTCTTCCAACCTACTCCTATACCACTGAACATAGCACGTCGAGGCAGTCGGTCGTTGGGCATACGTAACACGTGTCCCAGCCATCTCAACTGATGAAGTTTCACTACTTCATCAATTGATTTGCCATCCTTACCTAGTACCCGTTTCCTAACAACTGTGTTACTTACTCGATGGTCCCATGATATATGAGCAATGTTTCGAAGACACCTATGATCAAATACTAGTAACCTACGGATATCCTCTACTCTTACCGGCCATGTTTCACTGCCATAAAGTAGGACGGAACGAACTGCTGCGCAGTAAACACGTCCTTTGGTTGATAGACGGATATCTCGCCTACGCCATAAATGACGCAAGTTGGCAAAAGCTAGTCGAGCCTTCTGTATCCGTGCTGAGATTTCGTCACACACTAAACCACAAGGGCTGATGAGACTTCCAAGATAAGTGAAGCGGTCGACACACTCAACTACTTCACTCCCTATCACTAGTTCGGGTGTCGATGTAACCCAATCCTGAAGCAACATTTTGCATTTCGAGGGAGAGAATCGCATCCCGAACATGCTTGCATTGTTGCTTAGAGTGGCCAGAAGACTCTGCATTTTGTCAGTGTCTTCACCAAATAAAACGATGTCATCAGCATATTCTAAGTCAACAAGTGAACCTCCTGGTAGAAGTTCAACCCCTGTAAATTTAGATGAGGAGAGTGTTATCTCTAAAAGTACGTCGACCACAAAGTTGAACAAGAATGGGGAGAGTGGACAGCCCTGACGAACACCACTTGAGGTGATCAATTCTGATGACAGTTCGCCATAAGCTCTCACTCGACCAGTTGTGTTCGAGTAGAGAGCCTTTATAAGGTTAATGTACTTCTTTGGTACTCCTTTCAGTGACAAACACTGCCATAGAACCTCACGATCAATCGAGTCGAATGCCGCCTTAAGGTCGAGAAATACTACCATTGTGGGGCGTCTGAATGTGTGTCTGTGTTCTAGAACCTGACGTAGTGTGAATATCTGATCTATACAACCACGTCCAGGTCGAAAACCAGCCTGGTTTTCTCTAGTCTGCTCTTCACGAGCTTTAGTTAGGCGTCGAAGTATTATTGAAGCTAATATTTTAGACACTATATTAGTCAAACTGATTCCTCTGTGATTGTCACAAGAGGACTTTTGTCCTTTCTTAAAAACTGGCACAATCAGTGATTGAGACCAGTCAGATGGGATTACGTCCAGTTCCCAAATTCTACCTAAGACCTCAGTTAATCTCATTGCTAATACTGGACCACCATCCTTAAAAATCTCAGGAGTAAACCTGTCAGGGCCTGCTGCTCTCCCTCGTTTCAGATTTCCTATGGCTTTTTCAACTTCGTAAAGGGACGGAGGACCTACATTAACTTGCCATTCAGGTTGACTGGAGATCGTGGGAAACCGAAGTGTGGCTGAAGGCCAGTTGAACTGATCCCTAAAGTGTTCTGCCCATCGATCCAATCTCCTGGATTGAGAATGAATAATATGTCCATCTTTCTCTGAGATTGTTTCGCTAACGGTCGGGTTCCTAATTCCGGTTTCCTTAACGAGTCTGAACAATTGTCTGCTATTACCTATTGCCGCTGCCTTTTCCATCTCTCTTGCTTTCGCTACCCACCACTGTTCGCGATCATTGCGTAGACTTCTTGTCAGCTTGCGCTTAAGCTGACTCCGCTCTTCATTATGTTCAGAGCCAGGTGGAATGTGTTTCCGAGCATCTATCAGTGAGATAGATGCTGCTGAGATCCAGTGTTGCTCCCTAACCTTCTGGTTTACCTTACTAGCAGATATCACTGCTGTTTCCACAGCTTTTCGGATATCATTCCATGCTGCATCGGGGTGGGCATCACATACATGGCTGCCTAACTGTTTTCCTAGTTGTTCCTGAAATATACTCTTAGCTTGACTATCATTAAGTAGGGCCCTAAGAGGTTTCCTTGCAGGGTCTTTCCTACGTCCAGTAAGACGCAAGCAAATACGCGCTCGCACTAGAGCATGATCTGAATCTAGGCATGTGCTCCAGAATGAGCGACAGTCTTCTATCGAGCCCCTCCATCGGTGGCTGATAGCGATGTGATCTATTTGGGTCCAACGTTGGGACGAATTAGGGGGTCGCCATGTTAAAAGATGTTTTTCCTTATGCTTAAAGTTAGTATTTGCAAGGAACAGGCGGTTATCTGAGCATAGCTGCAACAGACGGTCGCCATTATCTGTTCTTTGAGCCACGACACCATAAGATCCACCTAGGTGTCTTTCCTTATCACTTAGTTTGCCTACTTGAGCATTAAAGTCACCGGCCACTATTACTACATCCGAGCGCCTAGCTTTTCGGAGAAGGTCCGAAAGCTTTCTGTAAAACTCATCTTTTACATCATCTGAGCTGCAGTCAGTGGGAGAATAGGCAGAGACGACGAAGAGGCAACGACGAGTGTCCCTATCTTTCCGGATTCTTACTGTTCCGTTCAGTCGGACAGCGCACAAACGACTGTCTACTGGGATCCACTCTAAGAGAGCTAGTTCTGCCCTAGGACTCAATGCTATACCTACGCCGGCGAGGCCACGGGAAGCAGAATCAGGGCTTCCAGATACACGAAGCGTAAATCGAGTCGGTTCTTTATTTTGGCATGGTGAGGTCAAATGAATGACGCTACTTGGATCCTGTATGCGCGTTTCGGAGACGCAGCACACATCGATGGCGCGAGATTCTAAAGTTTTAGCTAAGGAAGCCTGCTGTCCTATTTGGCAAAGTGTTCGTACGTTAAAAGCTCCTACGTGTAGTTTAGAGCGTGGTTTCAGGAGACCAGGAATGGCGTTCCACGTACTCGAATCGTTTGCCCTAGCGGTGCGAGGTGATAAAGAGACGTGAGGAGGGTTAGTCGGGAGGATAAGAGAAGTATTAGGAGGTGTAGGAAGGATTTGAATGTGACCACCTTGGTCTCTTGTGCTGTTACGGGTATGAGGGCTGATGTCACTTCCCGGCTGCCCACACCGTGGAAGGGTATTTCTTGAGGAACCTGAAAAGGAAATTGGATTAGTGTTGGTCTTGACGACCTGGGAGCGTGACCGCAGAGCCCAAGGGACAACTGCTTGAGGCCGGTCGCGCACGGCCTTTTTGTGGAAGGTTTTTGACGTGTTAGCTCCGTTCTTCAAAGGGCCTTACCGCCGGAGACGGAAATCCGTGAGGTAAGGTGAGGTGTGCATTTTTAGGGTCGACCTTTTCTAACCCCACCCCTCCTTGTGGGAAGGCAGCATCGCTGTCATGCTGGTTGTCCGAGGGAAACACCTTACTGCTGTCACACCTCTCTACAGTCAGCAGTACGACTTCGCCCTCAGACCTTGAGTTGCTGCTTTTAGTCTTACCGTTCGCCAATCGACCTGCCTGGCATGGTAGAACCTGCAGGAACATATGTTCCAGCCAATATAGCTCGGTTGGGTCATCACGATAGGCAAGCCCGATCACCGCGTCAAGGTAGCAGCTTCGATCGGGATCATTATAATTTAAGTACAAGAAAAAACTTACTTCATTTCTTCTGAGTTGAATTCTGTTGTAAGAGATGGAACAAAGTCCTGTACATAGGAGAATAACAATGAAAGAAAAATTAAGTGATGGTAATTAATTGAACTGATGGGTTATTCATAATAAATATAGAATCATTTACACTGATTCAAGTTGCCACATTATGTGAATAAAGCGAGATGAAATGATCAAAACAAATTCCATTGTAGTAGTAGAAATGGTAAGAGTATCAGTAATAGTAGGAAAAAACTAAACGCAGACGAAAATATGGTCCAAAAAAATAGTCCATGAAATAAAAAGTACAAAGTAATTATAGGATTCAAAGGAATATAAAGGAGGAATACAACTATTGAATTGAGATTGATTCTAAACCATGTTAATCAACGTCTCCGACGATTGACTACGATGATCACGTGGGTGCCAACTAGGTAATCTGTACCTCTATGCATGGCTTGGTTCAATCGTCAATGACTTGGACTTTGTTTTGGTGATGTCTAGAATTCATTTAGCCTAATCCAACAGCAAAAAAACACACATCGGGCTTAGGTAATAGTTAGACATATATATAATACATGTTCTGAATAACTCAGCCGATGGAAATTCACGACCTCACCAATCGATTCGCTATCTCTAACTAACGTCAGCACTGTTCGCTCAGTCATTGACCGTAACATAAACGCGTGCGGTGAGTCCAAGGTATTTATAAACATACACTAGTAACCTACAAATAAAAGTTGAGTGTGAATATTGTTAAGCATACTTTAGGCTGAGAAATAAACCATGGTTAGTAGTCTTTTGGAGGTGAGAAACAATGGTGGAATGAACTCGTTTAAATTACCCAAACAAGCAAAATCAACAGAGATAAGTGAATTCCTAAATTATAGTTCGATTCTACAATTGGTCCAGAGTTTTAGCCAATCAACACTACGAAACAGATATAAACATTTTTGTTACTAAGATACATACATATAGAAGAAGAAATAATAATGAATTAATAATTAAACTGGATTAAACAATCCGTACTAACAGGGATATGAATTTTGATCTAACTCTCTTAGTAGTTTAATATTAAGACAAGTAAAATTTGTGTTAGAGGACTATATATATATATATATGCATCAATCACATAGGAATAGATTCTTTGAATAGTTTTCCATACATACATCTATTCACAAAAATTGTACCTTACTGACTACTTTGCATTAACAGTTTAACATTTATTAAATAATCAATGAAATTCAGAAAATCGTATGAAAATACGTCTTAATTATTAGTTATTTCAGCCTTAAACATTTGCTGCATGTCGATTGACTATTTTATACGAAAGTGAATTGCTCAATTGTATCTCATTATATGATTAGTTAGGGTTGAAGCGATCCTGTTGCTTATATTTAGAATGAAATTTTGATTATTTTTAGTTGACATATATATACATTATTTACAGACTACCACCTTAACATGGACTGATCAATCCGGTGAACTTTGAAGGGAGAAATACTGGGATGAAGTTTGAATATGAGTATCAACATTGGTGTATGTAGATTAACTTAGTGAATGAGTCCCAAAGAAGATGAAACACTTGTCCTACATTTAATTATTAGCTATACAACTCGTCTATTTTGCATTAAACCATAGAGGAAGTATAACTAAGCAGTAAACCTCTTAGTATTAGTAGTGTGAACACTAATAGTAGTAGTGGTAGTTCCTAATTCTAAATTGTGGTCTAAATCCAATTGTTTTAGCTCAGTGTATATTGTGTTTATCAATTGTCACAAATCTCGTTTCTTCTTGAAAAATGATAGACGTAAAACGATGTAAAACGATTTAAAGATAATTCCTACAAAATAGCATTTGTTCAACATATATCTTTTCTATTTCTCATACCCTATGTTTTAACCTTAATTGATGTATGTTTGTGACCAAGTAACATCAGCAACAACCTACTGTTGCGAAGAACAAACCTTTAAATAGGAGGAAATTAGGAAAAGGTGCTAAAAGTGGATAGGACAAATATCTCAGAAATCATCAAATTGAATCACAAACTAAGCCCTAGCTTAAAATCCTTAAGGCAAAAGGAAAAGGGGCAGACTAAGGAACACATTAAGCCGATAATTGGAGACGAACATCAAAAGAATGAATAGCATATGGATAAAAGAATCAACTTAAGGTCTCTGGGCAAAGTCATAGACCTAACTGTATTACGCTGTAATGGTAGTAAGACGCTCACCTTAGGTAACCAGCACTAACTTCGACGTTGCCTTTTCACAACGGAACGGGATGGTTATAAAAGATTGGTCCCAAACAAATAGTATACTTTACCTTGCCTCATGGATTTCAACGCTAGAGCTAAAGCTTTTAAATTACAAAGCTAACACATCAAGAACAAGGAGTTATACTATGAGTTCTGTGGTCACGCCCAGTAGTTATAAAGATCAAATTTAAAACGGTTCCTCTTACGGATCCCTTGATAAGAAGTATCCTTTTATGGAATGGGTAGCTGGGAAGTGACAACCGCCCACACATCTCTAAACATTAGTCAAAATCAACATGTTGTGCTGATACAGTGTGGTAAATTGAACCAATGCACATATGTGGCAGGTTCTACGTTGCTTACAACTAACTGACTAAGTACCGATTTAATTAAATATTAATATTTCAGGTTGTTGATAGATGAACGAGTGAGAGAGAGGGATTTCAGTCAATGATTTTCTATGTTCTAGGCCATGTTGTTTTCTAACAGTTATAAGAAGTAGTAGGAGAGAGAGCAATCGAATAGAAAAACTCCAGAATGTCGGAGAAATTCTAGAAGTATAGGATTAATGACAATACGTAATCAACTGATACACTGATATAGATCTGATTTATCAATCCATGCTGGGAAAGTCAGCATGATCAGAGTTAAGTCGAATTAAATAGTCGACGAGGACACAAAGAGACATGAAGATAATGAAAACTAAGAAGACAATCAGTCACAAACAAGATCACCAAAACGAATTAACTTAATGCATGTGAAATAATTTGAAGTCTTACTTTTACATTCAAATTGGTAATGATAATGAATTGTTCATATCGACAACAAAATCATTGCAATTAATCTAATCTATCTAGCTTAAAGAATGTGAATACTACAAAAACTATCCACTTGAGTTACAGATCCTCTACATCATTTTGCGATCAAAATTATTTTCATCTAGTACAGCTCATCTTCTAATTGCTTCATCAATTAACCTGGTCATAAAACCTCGACTAAGCTGTCAATTTTGCTTATAGCACCGATCTCAAATACTCCGATCGAATCTATTCTAAAGAATAGAACTGCCAACCAACTAGACTCTGTTAATTGCTTATTTTCGGAGGGTTGAAGGTAATGAAATAATCATTTGTTTATGCAAAATATATTCAACTAAGATAGTATGACATAGGGTTACTAGTCAGTGAACAAATAATATTGAGAAAACCTATATATTGACAACATGGTTCCAAATGACGTAATAAAAAGGTATGATATGTAAGAAATAATAGAACTCAATAATTAAAAGAAACCAAAGAGTGAATATATCTGTTTTATTGTAATCAACTCTAAGAAAAGTCACCCGATCTCTCCAACCATAGATAATGATAACTGCATGGATCCTAATCAGGTAGTCCTCAACCTACTAATGTCAAACAGTCCAACAGTCAACGAAATTATAGTGATAACATGTTTTATTCCGGCCACCGCTATCTTCTATCCAACCTACATTTTACATCAGGTAACATGACAGATCGACGAACATAATGATAAGGAACTATCGATACACAAAAAAACGCTAAAAAAATTAGTTCAAAACAAGATTAATATGGTGTATACAACTAACCTCTTTCTCTTCAATTAGTGAAACACCACATTTCTGTCCCATATTATCATTATGAACACAATCAATATTAGTGACAAGTAACAAATTAGCTCTAGGTGGTGGTGGAGGAGGTGGAGCCTTCTGTATTACTGATGACGACGGAGATGTTATCGAATCAGAATGTTGACTACTGAATAATATAGGAGATGAATGAATTGTAATCGGCTGTGGTTGTAACCGAGGGGTTGATTCAATCATTGGATTACTAATTGCAGTAGAAAATTTATTATCATTATTACTACTATATGGAACTTGATATGTATGCGAAAAATCATTTTGATGATCTACGGTAGAATAATCTTGAGGTGTACTCATCATTGAATTCACCAGCTCAGGAATAACATTTGATGGTAATGTTTTAGCTCTTAATGGGATAGGATGTTTTAACTGGCAGAAAGTAAAAGACAGAGAAAAAATTTCAAGATGAAAGAAACAGAAACTTATTAAAACTCATGACTTAGTGGTTGAAGTGCTCAACTTTCAACTACTCAGTTTCATGTTCTAACTCTGTTTCACGCACTCCGGTATGGACAAACCGGTAGTATCATTAGCCCTTATATCTAAAGTAAGATTCATACCCAAGTAATTGGTGAATAAGTTGGCTCATTTATTTATTTTATCCCTTATTTGGGAGGATAAAAAGGAGATAAAGAGTGGCATAGCTATTGTAACTTGGTTACCAAGTATGTTTTTAGATAACTGGTGGATTCAAGCTAAAATTCCTTAATGTGAGGGCTAGCGATACCGTTCAAACTACGTTAGACAGAGTGTGTTTAAACTTGTGAATCAATAGTTGGAAACCATCAAAGACCAATAACTTTACAGTCTGAATGCGAGATAACTATGAGGGACGAAAATTCCACTCTAGATGATAATGGACAAAGTAAAAGAAAAACAAATTCTGATCTTTCGACAACTCGAAATTCGGAACCGCTAGACTAGTATCCTTATTGGTATACTGAAGAAGCACTCAGGAGTTTATCGCCTTAGTTTACTCAGGTCCATACAATTCCTAGTATGAAATTCAATGAAATTATCTCATTAATTTAAATTCATGTGCGCTCATTTTTAACGAATCAAACAAACTGTATTAGCGTTTGTGCCGGTCGCAGATGTCATAACTAAATTGATGTTCGAAAAAAGGGACAGAGTTTAAATGAATTAAGAATCGGATATATTATTGTGAAGATCCACGGAACAGTATGTAACAATAAAGCACAAGATGGTAGAAGAATTGCGGAAATAGATTTATAATAGACAATTTACGCAGGATACTAAACCATCGGAATTCGTACATTTAGGTCATACTAAACTGTGTTGCTAAAACTTAAAAATCTAAATAACATTTATACCTACGCTACCTTAATAAATCACCCTTCTAATATCAACTCACCAATTACCATTCAGTAATAATGATCATCTTTAAAAGATCTAAGCCTTTATAATCGGAGGATATTATCTAGTCCCGAGTATATATATATAATTTTGAAAAAGAAATAATTCTAATTTATAAACTTATTTACTTGTGCATTTGCATTTAATTTCGATTCGAATAAGATCATTCCTTCTTCTGATGCTAATAAACTGCTAACATCACTTTGACTAGATAAAGACCAACGTCTTTGTTGTTGCTGATTTGGTTCATGATGAGGGTGTTTCAACTCTGTAAAATTTGTAGATTGAATCATTTCAGTTCGAGATGTATTGACATGAATTGATGATGATGTCGTTAGTGTTATAACTTGACAAGTTGACACAGATGAAATTGGTGATGAAGAGGATAAGAATAATGATAGATGATGATTATCGTGATGTTGACATGAATCAGGCATATCTATTGATTTATATCTGACTGAACTGATATGATTTTGTTGACAAGTAGAATTCAATGTACAATTAGTTAGTTCGTAATTATTAATACAACTACCGTTGGTAGTAGTAGCAGTAGTGGTGGTATTTGCTTTTACAGTTGGTGATGATGTTGATGACAATTTTGTAGATAACCAATTAGTTTCAACTAATTCCAATAAAACTGTCGGTAAATTATTAGGAACTGGAACACCATTTAATCGATACACAACTAAATGCATTGCAATACAAAATTCACTCAATGTTAATTGTCCATCATGATCAAGATCAGACAGTTCCCTAAAGATGAAATACAATGACTGATTATTTATAGTGAAATTTTCGGATTAATAGTATTCAATACAGTACAATAATTATGTTACGTAATTTACGCTGAGAACAATATCAGAGAGACTGCAATATAACGTCAAAATAAAAAAAAATATGACTGAGTACACATTCAATTGATTGTACGTATTAAAGGATAGCGAAAAATAATAACGATAATTATTGAATTGGTACAATCAGTTTGTGGAAATTGTTAAATTTCATAGTTTATCTCGCAGATCGACTTTAGTTAAACAACCATTCAAGATTAAAAAGCAATGGACAGTTGTTTCGTCCCAGCATTTTGTTCTTTAACAGTTAGTATCCATGACCCATAAAAATCAAACCCAGAATCTTAAAGTTTTGTAGTAGGTGTTTAACCTTTAAACCACTGATTTATAATTCAATATGGTTAACATTTTTAGCATCAATCAACTGAATTAGAAGTACGCGCACTACAATGTCTATATAATTTATACCATAAAATAGTTATCTGATAAATATTCCTTAAAAAATATATACAAAACAAATTTGATTGACAAATAAATATCCAAGTTTTAGAATTGTTTGGAAGTACAAATCTTAAAGTATTTAAATATATCATCTGGTGAAACATATTACTTATTACTATCTACAGCCTCATAACGGTACAAGATCAGTTTACCTGAAACAAGACATATACGGGGTATGAAGTGTTTGAACTTATCGGAAGTAAAAATGTTTAGCATAGACTGTATTGGATTTATTCAAAAGTACATCAGTAATATCGCAATGAGTGAAAAAAATTAAAGTTCTGATGTTCCGTTTATAATATATACGTACATACGTATATAATTTGAGTATACAAACTGTTCTGGATACCAATATTGGCCATAATATACTTATTCTAGAAAATGTGACAAAATGGCCATATCAAGGGAATCTGTACAAGGTGCTCATATGCCAACAGAGTGATTAGAATTCATATCTAAATATCATTAAAGAAATAATTCAAACGCTTACTAATAATGATCTAAACATCATATTTATTAAATAATGTGGTGGATATCTGGACTCAGTAGCCTAGTGGATGACGTGATGGCGATTTAAGTGGAAAGCATTTATTTTGATTCTCGGTGAGGACATTAACTCTGGTATATATGTACATCTGACTGATGAGCCCCAAATAGGACGAAACGTCCCAATCCTAGTTCTTACTGTTATTTACACAATCTATCCAATCTAAATGCATTTCTGAAGAGTTTTATTACTAATTCTTAATCGTCCCATGAATAATCTCAGCTGGTTTATGTATGAATGATATGAAAAACAAATAAACGAACTTGAAGACAATATTTACCAAATTTTTGATAATTCTGAAGATGGTAAATTTGATAATTCAAAGAATGTCTTCGATTGCAATCCACTGAGTTTTTGAACCAATATCTGGTTGTAGTCTGAGAAACTGTGATAAATAATAAGCTTTCTGATCAGATGTAACTGCCCATGGATCTACAACACGTTGATTTCTTACAGCAAAATCATCATTTGAAATATTTAAACTGGGAGAGAAATTTGTAGTAGTTGTATTAGCAGTATTAACTAATGGAGTAATATCTGTAGTATTGGACTGTTGTTTGAATTGAGAGGTTGGTTGATTAAAACTAGACCAGTTATTCAATTGATGACTGTGAAATTGTATCTCTGCACAATGCGATGAATTCATATCCGAGTGACTATTTAAATTCCCATGATAGACTGTTTTCTAATGACCGATGAAAATGCAAGGCAATGTAATATTTGGCAAATAGTTATGGATGGTAAATATTGTGCGGTTTACAATAATGCTAAACTATTTTTATTTACAACATAAAAATGTTTGGTGTAGTTGTGCAACGCAATTAAAAATGATAGTATTGCAAGGAAAAAGAAGGGGGAGACGTCACATAAACAGTAAACCAACAAATAAAAAATTGTGCAATCTAGTTGAGAAAACAATCAAGGCGGATTCCGTTTAGTCAAAAATACATTTAACTGTTATCAATAATATAACAGAAAACTACGGTATGCTCGCCATTGGCTTCTATTCTAATTCATATCTTAGAACATATTAAACCATTAGGCTACGAAATTTTTAAGAAATAATGGGTCGATAGATATTAATGTGATGTAGCTACACTACTGCATGATATCAACCACATCTCTATATGCTTTTCGGTTGGAATGTTTAGCTACAATCCTCACAAATCTTATGACAATCTGAATATTCTTAGTGAAAGAAAATACACATTTTGTTTGATATCGACAGGAATATCAAAATATTTCAAGAGTGACAGTATACATCATTTAGAAAGACTGAGTTACAAAGGTACATGTATGTTACCGTAATAATGTAGAACTGTGGAGATAAATGTTCAGAAACCAATAAAGTCGTTATTAAAGGTTGGAAATGTTGGTGATGACATGAATCGGTCGCAATGATGCGAATGCATTCGCCCTTAGTTTTCCCTTCAACTCCTGAGTCTCGTGGTTATTCTGTACGCCTATGCTTCACGAATTCATTCTTTTTCTGAAATTTTATAGTCCATACTCAATCTCCTCTACTCTCATTGAAACGGTTACTACGTCTACCACTATACCGGGATTTGTTCAGATAATTTCGTCTCGCTGTATTGGTATGGTGAAGCAAATTGGACCGATGCATATAAGTGTTAGGGTGTATGCTAATTACGACCAACTGAGGTCAAAAGTCCAAGTTCTGTACCACTTAATTCAGTTAGTATTGTTGTAGTAGTATTGTTGTCTCCTAAGCAGTGACCAAATTACATACACGTGTACATTTACAGTCGGCCACACATTAATCTAATAATGTTAAACTGTCACAGGAGATTGTAGCATAATGTATTTAACTTTAGATATTTGAAAAAAGTAGTGAATAGGATACACGATGAGCCAACAGAAAGTTTTCGGTTTGTGAAAGTCGTCGGAAAGAAAGCGACTATATAATCTTTGGGAAAGGTTCAAATCCATTATTATGTTCAACCTTTACTATCATTCAATATAAAAATAACATCATAGAGATCATCACAAGACTTTACCTAATAATAATCATAGACAACGAAGATTAGAATTTTGATTAAAATTAAAAATAACTTGTATTCGGTGGTTAGAGGTAGTTGATGGAAAATCCTGGACCACAAGTTTGTGTACTTAACTTAAAACACTCAGTCACTGCTTCACATAGATATTTGAATTCGATGTTTTACGAAACAAATTTCCTATTCATCCCTTATTTTTTAAATAATAGCAGACATACGAGTACAATAGTTACACAATTCAAAAAATTAACAAAACAACGATGTGTCTCATACACTTATTGATCTTGGTGACCGGTGATGAGCTGCAGCAAATGGTGATGATGTAGGATCTGAAGGATTCTTAAGCATAAGTAATTCGTTTGATTGACTCAAAGAGGAAGGAAACATTAAATTCTGATTGATTGATCCCAAGTTAGGAAAATGTGAATTCACTGTTTGTTGTTGATTAATGAAAGATGATGCTTCTGTAGAGAAATAAGCTAAATAAAAAGAATGGGAACAAACAATATTCAAAATGCCGATAATAAAGCTGAATGGAAGTGAAAAAAAAGCCATAATGCATCACAATATTTGCAACCAATTTAGTTTGGTTTAAAAGTTTTGATGGGTTCAAGTACCACTTCACCTACTTTAATTTGAGGAGGCAGTTAGCATTACCATTTTTCAAGCAGACTGCGGCTTGAAGTCAAGCCATTATGTTGTCAACTACGTTTATGTCACTTGTAGTACTTCAACAAATATAAACATTATTGTTTTAGTAGAGAATCTCCATTTATTATTTACTTGAACACATGAATATTGGTACAAGGGGGCACCAGATATATATGCGCCACACAGTAGAGAATCTGAATAAAAAGTAATGTTCAGTTTCTTTTGCCTGGTTAAGTGGCTTACGACATTTAAGTTAATGTGACAATTTTCATTATAGACCGATGTTATACAAGAAGTTCGTTGAAAAATGTGTAACTAAAATACTGTTTTATTTTATATTAAGCTCCACAAGTAAGTCATGCATATGACATAGTATGGAACCGAACAGTCTTGAAGTGAACATAAAAACGTTTAGTGAATAAATAGGAGAATCAAGGTTTGGGTCAGTTAAAGAATATAGTACTTTCCTTTGTGGTATTTCTTTTAAAAAATGTGTTAATAATTGTTCAGCTGATCAGAATTACTTGTAGTGAGTTCAGCATATAAAAAATCAGCTTAAACGAAGGATGAATGTAGAAGTGAAAGTACAGTTTATTTTCACTTAGATTATAGTGTTTTTTTTCAATCTAACCTCATCTCTGCTAAAATTTCACACATCAAGGCAGAAAATAACTTGATTTTTGCATTAGATTACCTAGAACCTCCAATGGGTACAAGGTTAAAACCTTACTAGTTAATTTACTCTGTCTGTCTAGAACCCTTTCTTCAACTCAGATTGTGCTATCCTTTATAGATTCTATAAAATTTCGAAGTTACGTTTCACACTTTGCCTCTAAACTATTTGCTTCAGAAGCTATGATATTATAAAATCCCCAACTTTCATTCTATTGTTACTATCACCACATTAATCAGTCGCGGAAATTATCTAAAACCGCGTTTGGTAGGGGACATAAATATAGAGATATACATAGAGTGTACAGCGATGTACCTGGTTATGAATGATACGTATAGTGAGAAGGTTAATAACACTATTGAGTCATTCCAGCCTTATTACGCGAAACATTGCATGAAATCATGACCCACTGGTTAAAGGTAAAGTATACAAACAAAACTACCACAGTTTGGTAGATGTAAGTATAAATTTATATCATACTAAGTAAACGAGGAAGTCCACTGGTTTATAAAAGAAACAAACCACTGACACCTAATGCTGAAATGAGTCAAATGCTTGGATAAATACATCGGAGGCAAAGGTAGGTTCGAAATTTAATACAGGCGTGAATATAACAGGTGACTAAGTTATATTTTTTAGCACTTGAGATTCATAGAATTGCAATCTATGTGGTAGTACTATCTCTGTTACGTCGATAGTCAAAAAAGTAAATAAACAGATGATTTCTACTCAAAACTGACTAGTTTCCCAATATAATGAACAGTGTTTCGCTAGCGTATCTTCTTGGATTTCTAAAAGTCGTATAAAGATACTGATATGACTGTTGTCATTAAAATAAGTTACAGAGGTCCCAGTGCCAATAATGGTGATAGCTAACAAAGGTTTGTGAAGTCGGTGAAGCATCATTATGCCGATGTAAGACTGAAGGACCAATCCATTTAGATCCCTTAGAAAGATTAGACGGATGTTGAGGGTGATAAGAAAGTTATCACTACAGTATATTTAGAATTTGAATAGCAGTATAGACCATAATGGTGTTTACACAAGGTTCACCCATGGACTGTGGCAATGGTAGTTTTATGCATTCAAATTATCCATGTTAGGAAGGTGGGGAAGCTTTTTAGCCCAGGAGGATATTTTGGGAGAAGTCGCATTCTCTGAGCTAAATGGTTTAATCGTGAAGATATCACTATGTTTCTGGACATCAAGACAAACTTAGGATAGAAAAGAGCTATTCAGATTTCTTCATAATCGATTAAATCTTGTCCTCCACTACAGAGAACTCACTTCTACCCAGAGTTGATGCTGATCATTTTGTCCAGAAGGATAATCAACTTTGAGATGAAATTATCCAGCTCAGAGAACGCAGTTCCAACAATAATTTGCTGACATTGCTTATTTTGGCCAGACACTTTTACACGTCCGAATATTTTCGCTATTCGCTCTTTTTTCCAATTAGCTAGTATGAATATTGACACAAGATTGAGATGTAATGTAATCAAAGTCGACTAAACATAAAGAATGAACATTCGAAGTGAAATGCTGAACCTTCACTAGGTCATTCAAAAACTACATGCTGTCAGGGGCAGTTTGAATCATTACCTCCTGTGAAAAAGGGTCTGATCATAGCTCCGTATTATGAAGATAGTACAGGAGAAAGTTCATGAAGTCATACAATAATATTTAATGTAGGCTTGATAATACTTACAGTGAGAAGTACAAATAGGAATTGATAAGGGTTTTCTAACCATAGAACTATCATCGTCATCAAATTGAGCCCAAGACTCTTGTCCATGGCGTACTTGTTCCATTTTATGCAATAATCGGCATCACTAACGACGAGACGAAATTCACATTAGCAAATCTGAAAACAAACGTGTGTAAAATAAACTTTTATGACAAGCCAACAAACATGACAATAGAAATAAGTGGACCACAAATTTGTAGTAATTCTAGAAGTTTTAAGGAGATTTTAGCTAAATAAATATTAGATTTCCCATCATAGAAACACCTAGTGCAATCAGGAAAAATATGATGCGCAGTGATAACCCTGCGGAAGAAACTAGACGAAGACCTTAACAAGTTGCATAACTGGAAGTGTTCGGTAAAAAATATGCCTGAGTTCTATTACAGAGATGTTTGGAAGCGATAAATATAAGCTAGCTATAGTCCAACTTACTTTTGAATACTGAGACATTCTCGAAGGGCCCACCCTAAGTTTTTAGTAAGTATGGAAAATTTACAGTTTTTAAACGCGTGTGAACATATATTACGGGCATCAACTTTAGTTCACTAGACAAAACGCAAAACCTCAGCTTACGGGACTGTAACAACAGTGACAAAACCAGCGCTTATATAGTCCAATATCCAATGTCTAACAACTTGTGACGACTGGTTTCGCGGTCTCTTCTTATTATTGTGGTAATTTTCAGACATTTTATAATGCCCCATGGATGGTAGCCTAGTCACTCAGACGCAGTAATTCCTGTTGGTTTATTAGTTATTTGTGGACATATATATCTTGACGTTTGAGTGAATGCGTTTGTCACAGGACAATAGGAATCCTGGATATCTACAGTTATCACATTACTAGGCATTGGTTATTCGTAAATTTAGACACCAGTTATGTGCACACAAACAATTTATCTTAACCTTAAATTCACCCTGTTAATCTTTAAGTCTGTTTATGGTCTAGGGTAAGTCAAATTTCACTAAGCATGTGAATGTAAATGACAAAATTATGCTATCTTTGGATGCCGAATTACTATTCAACAATGTTCCACTCACAGAGACCATTAGTTTTTTTGCAAGTACGTAAATAGTAATGAGATTAGCAACAGAATGCCATGACTTTATTTTAAGGAACTCTTAATATGTACACTTTGCATTCATCGACGTAATTCATAGACAGAAGTATGGCATAGCAACATGATCCCCACTTGGTCCATTATTAGAGTATATTTCATGGCCAGTTTAGAAAACAACCAACTTAAAACGATTATAGGAAAATTCCATCTGTATAAAAGGTTCGTAGATGGTATCTTTATCATTTGTGACAACAAATATGACTTAAGTTATCTTCCAAAGACATTGAGTAATTATCACCAAGCAATAACTTTCACACTTGAAACTGAAAACAAACTAACTATTCACTTTCTTCGTGTGGAAATGACAAGAACTCTATGAAAATCTATCTGAAGGAAACTCATGTGGAATAGTCAACTATCACGCTTCCACATCTGGGTCCCCAATAGTCGAAATAGAAACTTAATATAATCTCTCTCTACAAGAATACAAAGAATTTACAGTTCCGAACTTATAGATGAAGAACTGAGCCTCTTGAAGGAAATGCTCATTGAAAACGGGTATCCTTTGATATTGTTTGATAAGAACATAAAACTGAAACCACCGAAAATACAAACAATTTCAGTCAAAAAGAAAACATCATACATGAATATGGACTTTAGGGTGATAGAGTTGCAAACTTCTTAAAGAGAAAGATTTCTGATTCCTTAAAAAGAACGTTCTTCGCAGCAACATCGCGATTAGTATTTTCTAGCTGGTCATTGTTCATCAATAATCTTAGGGATAAACTATATCATCTTACGAACTCAATGTGCATTTACCATAGTACCTGCTCGTGTGGAATCAGGTTATTCGATGCGTACTTTATCCGAAAGAATTCAAGAACATTATCCGGCTTGGCTAATAAGAGAAGGAACCGGCTCAATAAGAATTTCAATAGTCGGACACCTTGTGAACACAGGTTACTGAAGTAAGACAGACTGCGTCCACAGTTATCCACAAGGTAAATAGGTTTACAAAGACTATTAGATTGCATCTTCTTTGTATTGCCAAAGCAATAGCCGTACGTCTGAAGAATAAAACAGAATTGTGTGTGCAGAAGAAATTGGTTCAATCTCATCTTCTACCATGGTCTTAATCCCACATTATTTTTTTCTTTCTTCATACTTGTAGAACTATGATATTAGTACTGCTCTAATAATAGACCTAATCCTAAATTTGTAGATTTGTCATGATATAACTACCTAATCTATAAGATCTTACGTGGAAGTTACACCATCGACTACGCCAACTCACTGTATCGTATCAATAACCAATACATGATGTAGAACAAGGTTAGGCTAGAGAAGGAACAATATATTTAATATGAATAGGAGATATAAGGTAACATTCAGATGAGACCATGCCTGCATGGTCGAACCATGCCATCCGATCAACTCCAATTCATTCAATTCATTCTCGCGCCTTCTCCATTGTTAGGTATTTCTCCGCGTTAAATATTGAATATCTATTTTCCATCAACACGAAAAGTAGAAAACCATATTCATTGATAATAAAACACAGTTTGTAGTGACATTGGACAATAACCGCACAATCCACAAAGCTGAACACGAGACTACTCAGAAAATAGATATTCAATATTTAACGCGGAGAAATACCTAACGATGGAGAAGGCGCGAACAATGAATTGAATGGACTGGGTTTGATCGGATGGCATGGCTCGGCCATGCAGGCGTGGTCTCATCTGAATGTTACCTTATATCTCCTATTCATATTAAATATATTGTTCCTTCTCTAGCCTAACCTTGTTCTACACCATGTATTGGTTATTGATACGATACAGTGAGTTGGCGTAGTCGATGGTGTAACTTCCACGTAAGATCTTATAGATTAGGTAGTTATATCATGACAAATCTACAAATTTAGGATTAGGTCTATTATTAGAGCAGCACTAATATCATAGTAGACCATAATTCTACAAGTTGAAACGGAACACAGTATTGATAGGCAACGATAATAATGGATGGTGATTAAGCAGAACACAGTGTTATCAAGTACTCAAGGTCTTCAAAAGTATCAATAAGAGACTAACCTTGTATAATAATTAAAAGTATTTTAATTAATTAATGTGTTAACTAAGAATTACCGAAATAGTACAATTTAAAGTAGGTAGAACTAGATGAGCACATTTGGATGTATTATATATGTAATTTGTAATAAGCACCCACCCATGTAGGAAGGAACCCCTAGTTAGTACAAATACCACAGAATTACGACTACTAATCTCATCGTGGCTAGTACTAATTACCACTACGTCTGCACAAATACTCATCAAAATGGATTATAGAAAGTGTGCATTACAACTAAAGCTTGGCCTTGTTTTTATGTCACACGATAATTGGAGCTAATAAGAGTCAAAACAGTCTGTTCTTTCCGATTTCGTGTTATATAAATAGCTAATATCAGAAGATTAAATTTTTCCAATTTGGTTTTGAATTGAAAGAAACAGTTTATTCGTTAAAGTGGATATTTGAATTTCACGGAAAGCATTAGCTTTCTGAAGAATGCGGTAACAAAGTTTGAGTGAGCATCAGCTAACTCTAACGATAAACTAAAGACTTCCTGTTGACTGCCTTCAGCCATCAAATGCTACATCATAAATAGCTTGGTTTAGTGGCTCGGTTTCAGTCTTAACGGCAGAATTATGTCACTGAAAAACGCGACATCAATATAAAACTGGTTTCTACTCTCTGACTAATCAGAGTCATTCTGACAGGTTCTCGAATGATTGTTAAGGTTAGATGAAAACTGTAGAAGTATGTGTTACTGCTTTTGAAAATGCAATAAAGATTTTCCCTCTAAATATGAACTCTCTGTTTAATTGTCAGTTAAAATAAACCTACACATATAGTCTTAATGTTTTATGACACGTTCATAGTAGTGTAGTGACTCACATTTATCACGAGAACACGACTGGTTTAATAAAAACAATTATTATTATAACCAACTGTACCAGTGTTTGTTTTAATGTGCTTTTGTTTGACTGTGCTAATGACAGCTTTATTTTGCTTCCATTCTTTACTTACACTTCGATTGTAACTTCGCGCGAATTCGGTTACCTTCTGTAACCAAGGTTGTATCCTGGCACGATCTCGGTATCCTTTCGATGCCACGAGATCGCCAGCTAATAAACCTCGACTTGGTCCATTAATTGCCTTCTGGTATTCGGCTTCTCGGGGATTTTATGGAGTCATTTGGAACGAGCTTCTTACGCCTTCTGATCTATTTGGCACGTGTTTCTTGGTAGCGGTGTTCATAGTTAATTTCAACTCGACGCCACGCTACATTGGTGACCCAAAGTTTGGAACACGCCTCAACTTCTGATCAAATCTTCCAAAGAAGCCAATTCGGTGAGTCTATGATTTATCTATCCACGTCTGTCGTATATTTTCATATTTTTTAATATATAATATACGCGACATGACGGATAACGATAAGAATAGTATTAATATAATAGACTCACATGTACGTGTACCGAATCCTTGTTACTTTTTATTCGCGTGACGATGAATTCCACGCTTTATTCGAGAAATTTTCCCCTATTAACTATTCTCCTCGCTGACCCGGCTGCTTGGTACGGAATGCATACGCATAAGCATATCCGTCTACCACCCAGCACCAAATGGTTAAGTAAACGGTTTCACTGCCAACTTAAAAGTACTCTACGAGCACACGAAAACGGCAACTGGCACGAAACCTTACCGCTCGTTCTTTTAGGGATCAGAACGAGCTTAAAGGCAGATATCCAATGTTCCGCCCTGAACTTGTATACGGCACGACATTGCGTCTGCCCGGAGAATTCTTCACACCACGGAGCAGACCTAATTTCGGTAAATCAGACTACGTCCATCGACTGTCTGCATTTATGCGAACGCTGTCTCCGGTGTCAACTCGAATACAACATCGACAGGTCGCTCTCCCTCGAGAGTTATCTACCTGTTCACAT